CATCCGAGTGCACACAGGCGGCATCCACATCCATGCCAGGCGTCTATCCTTCTGACATCTGTTTAAGATCCTTTGACCACATGGCTCTTTTTTTCGAAATTGGCTGTAATCCATGTCAACGCTTTACCCCAAGAATTGTTTCCAATATGAGTTCAGCCTTGTCGAGTGTTCGCCCTTTCCACTTTTGACTTTCGACTTGCTTCGTGGCGATTTGTACTCCTGTTGATTCTCTATATTTCAACTTTTCCGATTTCACTTGTGTTCCTTTTGACTCCCGTCCATGTCACCATTTGCAGCTCGGCTTTTTGCAAGTTCGATTTTTTCCGTTGAAGTTGTCCAAACTTCTGTTTTCCGTTTTATTTTATATTCGACCTATATTTCATCCAGCTTTACCGGTACAGTTTTTGTAAGGGAACCGATAAGAGATACCCACCAGGCAAGCGATGGCGTAGTCATTTTTTTCGCAAGTGTGTTCCATGCAACACCGTTATCAGATCCCCGATGACATCACAAGGCATGTGAACGAGCTAATAATTACTGAAATTATGTACTGAATCGCAATGTGTTGGCGTAAGCATGACGAACAAAGCATTTTGTGCTAAAAAATCAGGACCTTGACCACCTTTTGACTCATTGGCTCTCATGAGTGGTGTGGCCAAGTGTGAGTTTTTCCCCGGCCAAGCGACATGTAACACCCTTATCACATGCCCGATTTGTATAGATATATATATATATATATATATATATATATATATATATATATATATATATTGCAGAAATACACTACGCCTTTTGGTGATATTGAATAAATAATACTTAGATTACAAGCGTGCTATTGCTATGTTATATTTAGTTTTAATGATGTGCTTTTGAATAAATGAATACTTAGTTGTATAAGGTAAACATATATTCCTTGTGAATTCTGTCTTCTGAATTCACAAGGAGCACAGACCTCCTGCTCTCATCGGAGCAACCGTTATTGATTAACCCTATGGAGCCAGAACGAGTAGCTCAGGTAATAGCTGAGAGGCCGTATGGCATATCGATTCCAGGAAACAGCTCTCCTACTGTTGACCTTCACGCGGCTCCATTTACACCGCCGCATGCGGCATACCGTCTGGGCGCAGCTGAACGTGAACAAGACGAGGGCCAAACACCGGAGATGCCAAACAAACCGCCCAACTGGCGCGATGGCCAGGCCGAGTTTTGCCACGCACCATTTTTCCATCATTAATTTAAACAGCACACAATACATCCTGGATAGATAGCACCACAACATGCGGAACAGCAACGGGATTTCAGCCAGTTGGTGTAGAAGAAACTAGAGGTATGGTATATATTCCAGCCGGCACGTAGTATCTACTACAACTTTTGCGGGGACGCGTACAACAGTACCGGAGCGGCAGCGCTGACGGAAACTTGGTTCGCGCTTACGTCAGTCGATGCAGACTGCAGATTACTCAGTGCCGGCCAGGGCTTTCCCCGATGCGTGAGTGGCGGTGCATGGGGCCTCTGCAACTACCTGTTGAGGTTCATGTCGCACATATTTGTGTCCAAGGGCAGATCCAGAGGTGGTGGGGAGGGGGCAACCGGACTATGCCCCCGTCAGGTGGCTTAAGTTGAATAATACTACGTGGTGAAGTTTGCCTTAGGATATTCCTTGAGGTGAAATGGAGTTTTTAAGCAAAGTATTGTTCTGTCCAACACGGCCTTGGTCCATCGACGGCGGCATCCTGGATTCGCCCTTGTTTGTGTCGGGTGATCTATTGTCTCTTTAAACCATTTATCAAAATATCAGAAATGTTCGCACGCGTATGATGAACATCTCAGACAGTGGTGGCGCCAAAACCAAATTTGTGGTGATTGTTTCCCCATGGACCTTGCCCATCGTTTCTACGCCTACGTTCACGCATGGAAAGTGCTAACAAGATATGTATGACGAGGGTGCAAAAATTAATCGTTCCAAGTGGCGAAGGCGAGGTAGCAGAGGAAGTGGACGGTATTGGAAGGGAGTGGACAGCACTGGAACAGGATGGGAACTAACCAAACCAAACCAGATCGGACGAGACCAGACGGTTCTGGACGAGACCGGATGGAATCAGACAAGACCAGATGGAACAAGATGGAATCGGTCCTGGCCAAAAGAACCTGTTCCGTCCTGCCTCATTCCTTTCGCTCACATCCCTTACAGTCCGATCCCGTTCCATCGTGTCAGGTCCTGACTGGTCCCGTTGGGCTTCCTGTCCCACCCAGTGACAGGTCTCGTCCAGGTCCATCCGATCCCATCAGGTATTGTTCAGTTTCATTATGTGTCTTCCAGTCCCGTCTAGCCATCTGGTTCCATATCAGGTCCCATCCTACCTCATAATGCTCTATCCCGTTCCTTCTGGTCCCGTTCTGTAGCACCCGGCTCCGTTCGATCACGTTCAGTGTTATCGGAATCTGTCGGATCCTGTCCTGTCACGTCTGGTCCCGTCCGGTCACGTCCGGTTTTGTCTGGTTAGGTCAGGTCCTTTCCGATCCGACCCAGCCCTGTCCGTTTCATTTCTATTCAGTCCAATTCCTTCCGGTCACGTCTGATGTCGTCTGATTCTGTACGGTGCCGTCCGATCACATCCCGTGCCGACAGATCACGTCCAGTGCATCCGATCCGATCACGTCCGGGGCAGTCCGATTCCGTCTGATCCAGTCCGGTTCTGTGCAGTCCGGTCCTGTGCAGCCCGGTCCTGTGTAGTCCGGTCCTGCCCAGTTCGGACCTGTCCAGTGCGGTCCGGTCCTGTCCGGCCCCGCCCAATCCGGTCCGGTTCCGCTCGGTCCCGTCCGGTTCTGTGTAGTCCCGTTTTGCTCCACACGGTTCCTGTTGGTCACGTTTGGTGCCGTCTGATCTTGTCCGGTTCAGCCAGGTTCCTCTGGTGTCATCTGCTCCTGTTGGCCTTGTTATGTTTCGTCCTGTTGCGTCTAGTTACGTCCAGTGCCGTCTGATCTCGTCCGATCTCGCCCGGTTCCGCCCGGTCGCAGCTAGTTCCATCAGATCTCGTCTGGTTTTATCCGGTCACGCCAACCTCCTTTCAGTCACTTGTCTGCCTGCTAGGGTGTATCGTGTGTGACGGAAAATCCCCGGTTGCCATCATGGACTTTACCGGGCTTCGGCGTGCATGTAACCACCCTGGGGTTGATTTTGTGATTTTGTGGCGTCATCGTACAACCAGCTGGAAGTGGCCTAACGCCACAACCCAAAGTCTCAGATGGTAGTTGAATGCATGGTCATGGAGCCGAGCGAGGTTGCGTTGGGAGTGGTTGGGGTGCGGGTGTAAGGTAAAATGCTTTTTTTGTCGGTGTAGTGCGCCTAGAGTTAAGTGAAGGACTTTAGGGCATTTATAAGTTATAACGTATCTACTGGAACTGATATTTTATTTTTGTATTTTTTCCTACTGCATACCAATTACAAGACCTGATTTGTCCAGACAAGTTCAGGGATGTGTGAGGCCTGCGCCGACAATGTCGGTAATCCTTATGCTATTATCAAACCAAATATCCAGTTTAATTTATCACAGATGATCACTCATTTTTCATAGTAAGCATACTGTTGTGGTCAACCAATTGAACTAGATAACAGCAAGCGAATTTGTCATGGGTAATTACTCATTGTTTTTAAAATCAGTACACTGGTGTGCTCACCATGCAACTATTTCCCCTGATATTTAGGTGTGGTGGACAACCTGAAACTGGCCAATGTTTGCACGTTCCTCACGCAAACTAAAATAAAGCAAAATCTGAGTTATAAGCTATGATTACCAGAATGCTTTTAATAAAATGTGTTGGAAGTTGTGCCATGCCTCCAGCATGACACAGTTCTGCCTCCAACATGAATATAACCTCTTTTTTACCAACATTCCCTGTGTTGTCAATCTGATAAGTGATTATGGATCAAGATGTTCTGAAGCATATTCAGAGATGTACCACCAAATTTGGTGCAGGGATTTGTCTCCAAAATTATGTTGATTGCCTGGAAAAGCAACCCTGCCAGGTGTACATTGCAGAAGATGCAGGGGTAAAAGGATCTTTGTAATCAGGTTGTAGCTCATAATTCAAATGTCAGTTCAGAAACTATCTTCAAAATAGATGAATCTGGTCAAACTTGTGGACACTGCTAAAGCTGTAGCAGCCTTACATTTGCATTCAGTGGAGACAAAAATATTTTTGTGACAGTGGTGCCTCTACTGAACAGCTTATGTTTTACTGTATTGCCATGGTGGCATATGGTAAATCATCAAGTGCAGTGGTCAAACTTCTTCAGCTGTTCTAACTTTGCTCAGGCTGGAGAACTTTGTCCTGGAACCACACCTTTTGGCTTCCTCTTCTGATTAAATTATTGGCATGCCAGGCAGGCCTACTGCTTCAAACAAAAGAAATGTGTTATGTATCCTAAATAATCAAATTTACTCATGCATGCTGGAATCCTGCTTTGCTAAATTACACCTTCATGCTCCAGGAAAAAGTTATTTGATTGCCAAATGGTATATATCAGTTGTTGGCCTGTGCCTCAGTTGTGCCACTTTGCTGAGTTTGGACAGCATGCTATGATTAAATCCAAATGTTATATGCTGTCAGCATTCACATGTTACTGACTATTGCATAAACAGAAAGGGTGGCAGTGAAGCTCAGTTGAGAATGTCCTGGTAGTAACCAAGCATGGCATCACAGGCTGGACTCAAATCCAGCCTGTGTTCAATAGTTTCTTTATCTCTCAAAATGGTCAGCATCATAGATGATGGCACTATCATACTTGGCACATGATTTTATTGTTGGGCTCTCAAAATCATCATTATTATCAATGGGATCATTTTTCATTTCATTTTTTTCATTTTTTTCATTTCAGTGAGTTGTGCTCCTGAGCAGCTATGGAGCAGCATGCAACAGAAGCCAATACCATGACATCTGAACGGGCTGCCGGCGGGGACGACCAGGCGAGCGGGCTGCGCGTCGCGCTGCTGCGCCTCATGGATGAGAAGACCCATCTGGAGGAGCAGATCAGCCAGATGGGCAACGTCCTCTCCACGCAGCGGGTCGGCATGGACGAGCCGCTGGTGGACGCGGATGACTACCCGCGCGCCGACATCGACGTGTACTCGGTGCGGCACGCGCGCTCGCAGCTGCGCCGCCTGCAGAACGACCACCGGGCGCTGATGACGCGCATCGAGGCCGGCCTGGCCGAGCTGCACGGCCGGCAGCGGGCGGCGGGCGGCGCGGCGCGTGAGCCCGACAGCGCGCCGACGCCGCCGGCCGCCTTTCTGCAGGTGACGGGCGTGAGCGACGGCTCGCCGGCAGCGGCGGCTGGCCTGCAGCGCGGCGACCAGCTGGCCGCCGTCGGCTCCGTACACGCCGACAACTTCGGCACGCTGGCGGACGTGGCGGCGGCGGTGCGCCACAGCGCCGGCCGGCCGCTGCCGGTGACGGTGCTGCGGGACGGCCGCCGACTGGCGCTGCAGCTAACACCGCGGCCCTGGGCCGGCGCCGGCCTGCTCGGCTGTAGCCTGCTGCCGCTTGACCGGCCGGAGCGGTAGGAACGCTGGAACGCCGGGAAGCCGCGGTGCGGTGCCATGCGGACGCTGGACTGCCGATGGGAGTGGCTGGAATGGGTTGGAATGGTGGTACTGTGCCATGCTGCCCATTTGCGGGTGTAGGAACAAACTGCAAGGGCAGAATGGTCTTCGCGCAAAAATACGTGTGCCAGCCCTGGGATGGACGAGTTGACTACGAGATGGACGATGTAAAGAAGGCTGACAGGTCATGCCGGTTTTTTGTTAAAAGGGGAGGGGGCGGGGGTATTGAATCCCATAGCTCACACTAGTGAATACTTGATGAAGGCAAACTGATTTCGGGGAAGTATCATGCTCGTAGTGAGAGTCTACTAAAGCTGAGCTATCTTGCCCTAGAACGCCGTTATGTCGCCATTCACAAATTTCTAGGCGGGCTGGTTTGCTTGAAACTGGGACCGGAGATAGCCATCGTGCATGAAGAGAGCACTTGGGCAGGGCTGTAGTAATTACGTGCTTCTAGCGACAAGGGGCTGCAGGCGAAGTGATGGCCTGCATGTCTGATGTGCCGCTAAACCACACGTATCCGCGACACCCGCTTGAGGCCGTGCGTCAGCCTGGTCTCTGCTCGTGGCGTCGCCGCGTGAGCGGTGCGATGTGGCCTTAGGGGGCATATCAGCCGGCGCGGCAGTGTGATAACCGACTTTCCTGTGGGGTCTGAGTGTCGCAACCGGTCGGATAACGCCGTCGGTACGCGATTAGTGTGCCCAGGGTTATATGACCTGTGTGTTTCGAGTCAACATGGCGTGATGGGGTTTTCCTGGTTGGCGGCAGTGAGTCGAGTGGGGGAAGCGTGTCGTTGCTGCGTGCTATGCTGTTGTCTGATTCTAGTATCGCCGTGCATGTGATAGCCAGTGTCGACTGGATTATGCTAATGAGATGCTGGTATAGCCTTCGTTCATTTCGGGGCTGTGCTACGGGATATTTGTTAGCACATTTGCTCTGCTGGACTATTAAAGACGCCTACAAAAAGTTGATATGTTTCTATAATCCTGTCGTGCACACTGGCAACGGCTCTGCCGCGCAGCATGCAAATTTGGTGATTGCTGCCAAATGCGAGTACCGAATATATGGTTCACTCAATGCTCGTGAGATTCTACAGCGCAGCAGCGCAAAGTGCGAGCTCGTGATGCTGCAACGTAGGTTGGTGCGCCGCCGCGCGGGACGCGGTGCTCACCTGTCTGCGGCTGCGTAGCGGGCCGGGAGTGCGGGAGCGGGCGCATGAGAACTTGTCGGGCGGTGGTGGCGGCGGGGTGGCCTCCGACTGCCGCCACCAGGTGGCAGTGCAGTTCGCCGACAGGCAGCGCTCCAGTCGGAACGCCAGCCCTTGGAGCTGGCTGCTCACCACTGCGCTGGAGCAGTCTAACAGAATATCGGGCGCGTTCTCAAGGCTCCTTGTACCATGGATTGAGGTAGATACTGCGGTAATGGGTGCAAAGGACCGCCCGCGTTTCCTTATGGACTCGCGTAGCGTCGATCCTTCTCATGACGACCTTTGCTGCGAGTGTGTAAAACAGCAGACGTACCAGAGCGGACTTGCTCAGAAGTACCGTTGAAGTTGTCAATATCCTTGTGTAGCGTTAATGGAGCACTAGTCGACTGATCGACTCTGCCTCTGTCCCCAAATCCGCTTTTGCTGCCGCCCGGTAAAGATCACCGGCTGCTTTCGTTCTGGATTGAGTGAATGCTGAGGCCTTTCTGCAGCCCACCTTCAGTCGGGCCTTAGACCTGTATGCGCCAGCACAAGCCAGCCGGATGGCTGGCTTGTGCGGTGGTGTTTGGCTTGTAGCAGTGGTGTTTCCTGTCATCTGACGCCGCGCCGTGGAAGCTGCCGTCAACAAACATTGACGTGTCGGCGCTGATCCGAACAACAGGATATGATCACATGCGCTGGCAGGTCAGGGGTCTTGCAACATAGTCATACACACCGGCGTCTCCAGAGCAGATGCGTACGTCGGCTTACCTGTGGTCGCAACGCTCAATTGTTACACTGTCAGCACTTGCGCCTTTGCGATGTCACGCCGAAAATTGGGGCTGTGCACGAAACGCTTGGTTTTATTGAGATCGGCGACAATAATCGACGCATTTGATTCATCAAGCAGCCTTTTGACATTCGATTGCATCATTCCAATAAATCTCCTGGTGCAAGATTTGAACCTTATTGGTTCAGCTTCTCGCGCCACATTACTCTAGAAACCGCGGTTTTATGATGGAAACCACGTACAAATCTCTGGAGATAATGTGGCGAGCGCTGCTGCAAAGCTTGCAAGATTGCTACCATCAGACGTTGGTCTCGTTATTCCAAGAATCTATGACCGGGTCCGTGTCGTAGCGTCCTACCCTGCGGCCTCAATCACGTGATGGCGCCAATGACCAGGGTAGTCGGCGCGCCCTATAGCCCAAATCATCATCATCGCGGACAGACGTTAACTCTGCAAGACGTGTTAAGACTGGCGTGCTAGGGTTTTAGGGGGAGCGGAGGAGAGGTAAAAATCAATTTTCGAGTTTCATTATTTAATAACATCCGAACTGTATAAGACAGGCTCACTCCGTTTTTACTGGGTGGGAGGTGGTCAGTTGGATACAGTCTGACGCTAGGGTTTCGATGTTGGGAAAGGAATTATATTGTCCGCAGTATATGCTTGCACGGCAATCTTAGCCTGCACATACGGTTTCGATGCTTCCTTTCCGTTGTTTTGGAATGTCTCGATTGCGATCAAAGTTATACGGGCCTGCATCAGATAACGACCACATGTGATAACGGTCATAAATCGCGCGCAGTCAGGGCAGGCGCCGGACCAAAATGTCTCATGAAGTCCATCTGTGACAAATAATTGGATGAAGCTAACTCTTTCCTAACAAATGGCTTCTGAATGGAACCTGAAGCAGAAGAACAGAAAATCGGGCCAGATGAGGTGACCTGACCTCGACCTGACCTGACATTGATTCTTGACGGTTGAAAAAGTATGGTAGGGTTATGAAGCTCTTTGGTAGGCATGATAGGATCATTTGGTGCTGGTCTCATTGTCTTATTTTATGCATTGTTTCATGCTCACTGCATGCTACCCATTGCAACTGTTATTTTCGTAATTATTATCTACTTTCCTTGCTAATAACAGGCATAGAATATCGTGGCCAAGCTAAACTCAGAAGGGCCAAAATCTAGACTGGGCGCGCCATGGCTCCCAACAAAACACAATGTGATGCTCTTGCGCCGCCCCTTTATTGACGTATGCTGTGAACTGTCGGGAGTGAGCCATCGGTGCCACGTCGCAAACATTTTGGACTCCCGAAACTCTACGTGATATCAATATGGTCCATGGCTTTGGTGCTTTGCAAATTAGGGGCCATGGTCGGCATTATTATGACATTGGTGTCTTGACTTTGAATGTCTAGAAGCAGCGACGGAACGTCCATGCAAAATCATTAAAATGATTAATGAATGAACCAATTCTGCACTTAAGTTTGTTTTCGCAGCGCGTGTATATTAGTACCATGCCCAGCCAAAACCTTTTATCGTGAAGATTCAAAATAATTTACGACGAAAGTGGTTTTTAAACTTTGATACACTGGACGCGCACGCTAAGAGAACGAAGAGGAAACCTAACATTGCACCGAACGCCAGCGCGCTATTGCAGGATTCACGGTGGTCTCCCTGCACAAGTCCGGGTCGTCATGCCCTTATTATGCCGTGCGGGGGGACGTTTTCCGGCAAAACCGAATGCTACCCGATTAGTCAAATGCTGCTATAGTATAAGCCGTTACTCACACAGGTGAGCGGGACGTGATGCGACTCTCACAACGGCGAGTGAGAGTTTAGACGCTCGACGCTCTGGGCGGCGTTGTGGAGTTGGCGGTGCTGTTGGCAGTGGAGTAAGTGCAGCTGTTCTGAAACTCAACGCGCAAGGCCCCACGTAAGCACTGCGAAGCGAATACATTAGAAGAGGAGCTGCGGGGATATAAAAGGTAGGGGGAATCGACCCCTAGGCTACCCACAGCCCAACCGACGAATGTTGTGCGTACGATGGTGACGAGTGTTCAGCCCACGACAACTAGGTGGCGGGTTTGCAGCTAATCACAAGGCTGATGATTCGAGATGATCAACCACGAGTTCGGGGTTGGCAACAAGGTTGCGGGTGTGGGACCAATTACGAGGCCTCGGGCTCGAGATCGAGGCAAATTGAGGCCCTAAAATAAATAAAGTTCGAGGTCGATCTCTCGAACGTGGGCTAGAGGGCTAACCACGGACTGTGGGTGGCGGGGCGAATGACGAGGTGATGGGCACGAGGCTTCTACAGAGGGAAGAGGACTGAGAGCCCTCCCCGCAGACTTTGGGGCTATGGGCTCATCGCAACGCATCTGGAACCCCAGCTTTTAATCTTGTTGGCACATGAATCTGAGCAGTGAACGCAGACAAAACTGACATAATTCCTAAGCCACTTTTTCCGAAATGATCTGGTTTAAGTGGCCAATGGATGGTCAGAAATGGAACTTTTGGGTGTAAGTTCGTTTGTTTCCCAGGCACGGAGTCGCTTTGATCTGAATATTGTTCTCGCACCTACGGTTATGTGCTAAAAACAAGGTCGTAGGGTTCCAGTTTACCCCCCAAGTCACGGTTTAGAGGCTATCTAGCCTCGAGGCCGTCAACTAAAGGATATCTCGCGCTCGAGCCAGGTCACGGTTTAGAGGCTATCTAGCCTCGAGGCCGTCAACTAAAGGGTATCTCACGCTCGAGCCAGGTCACGGTTTAGAGGCTATCTAGCCTCGAGGCCGTCAACTAAAGGGTATCTCACGCTCGAGCCAGGTCACGGTTTAGAAGCTATCTAGCCTCGAGGCCGTCAACTAAAGGGTATCTCACGCTCGAGCCAGGTCACGGTTTAGAGGCTATCTAGCCTCGAGGCCATCAACTAAAGGGTATCTCACGCTCGAGCCAGGTCACGGTTTAGAGGCTATCTAGCCTCGAGGCCGTCAACTAAAGGGTATCTCACGCTCGAACGTAGGCTGTGTTTCAGATTCCTGCTGCAATGGGCGAGAAGATTGTGGCGGACGCCACGTAAGTATCGCGAAATAAGCGACCACAATGGAGAAAACCGGCCCGACAATGTCTTTAAACGCTCTCGGCAGGTCTTAAACATAAATTGGAGATAATGGCGGCCGTGGTATTGCTGTGCAAACTACTCAAACTCCTCCGACCGAACTGTGGAGAGGACGCGTCAAGCAGATGTAGCAGAGCTAAGCAGATGTAGCAGAGCTCTATTTCCACACATATGCGCCGAAATGACACCGCCAGAAATGCCAGCACGCCATATAAAGAAGGAAGGTTATTGTTAATCCAGTCGTTAGAGCTCCTAAACAACGTTGACATTCGTCATTTTTTTTGGATTTCCTATGCTTCCCGTAAGCTTTACCTCTGCGCGCACTGCACTGCACTTAAATTCATTAGCATACACAGCACCATAAACTGGTGACGCAATGGCGTAATCTCCATTGCTTGCTTTGCTGTTACTGCTTGTTTCGCTTGGAGAATCGACTTTGAAATTGCCCAGGACGCCATTGGTCAAAACAGTGCAGAGGGCCTCTCGTTCGGCACTGGGGCCCCTAACTGATACAGGGTCTTTCCGCTGTCTCATAGTGGATGGGAACCATTGCATCGTTATTTGGAAGGCACAGGGGCCCCTCACCCAGCAGTGAAGAGCATAGCGCTCTTCGGTATTTCAGAGGCCTCGACCGATGGGGAGGTTTCTGACTGACACTTGCAGGCCCCGGCCTTAACCCCGGAAGAGGGCCCCAGGGGCCAGACCTGCCAGGAACCAACAGCATGGTTTTGGTGGCCTCATTCAAATGCCTGACATATAGACTCTCACTGTCTTGGGGCCACAAGATCGACATAAGAGGCCACTGGACTGACATGTGAAATCGCAACGTTTTAGCTTCCGACTTTCAGGTTGGAGTCTCTTCATATGACCTTTGACTTGCCCTCCGGGCCTCCAATCGGGCCCTTGATCGTTGGCCTGAGCGTTTGCAAGTTTCAAGTGGAACCTATAGACCTGGAGGGGGGGGGGAGGGGGGATGACGTGTTCCTGTGCCCTCCCCTACGTGCGCCCCTAGTTTTGGCGTCCTTAGATCTTGGTTCGTGGTGAAAAAGGATTTTCAAGGGCCATTTATGGCGATCCCTGGAATTTGTTGTCTTTTTACAATAGAGATTTCAGTGCCCCCTGTGCTACCTCTTGAACTTGATTTCTCTTGAAAATGGATGCTATGATCGCCCGAAATAAAGGTCCTTGGTGTCCGTTTGCCAAGGGGGCCAATTCACAATTTT